CAAAGGCTCATTTGTGTGACTGATCAAAAGTTTGACTCATTTATATCTTTTTTGTTTGAGAAAAAAATTCATCTATGTCATTATTTATTAATTGAAAACAGTTTTGATGTTGCAACTTTATTCCGTATACGTGGTTTGTTATTATTCGTTTACGTCATTACTTAAATCATTTTTTAAAAGGAAAATGACTCAAATATGTTATCGAATTTTGAGAAAAAGACTCATCCATGTCATCCGTTCAAATTTTTGATCATTTATGTCATTTCAGTTAACAAATAATGGCATGGATGAGCCTTTTCTCAAACAGAAATGACATAGATGACACAAATTTTTAATAAATGTCATAGATGGGCATTTTCTCGGAGATCGATACATATTTGAGCCTTTTCTCTTTAATAAATAAGCAAGGCAACTCCAGAGAGAAACCATCTCTCATTTCTCACCCTTCTTTCATTTCAAGATTTTGATCATGGCTAAACAAGTTACAGAGCCTCTTAGTACTTTGAGGGTACTGATGTTCCCATTTTTGGCTTATGGACACATCTCTCCATTTCTAAACGTAGCCAAGAAACTCGTGGATAGGGAATTCTTGATTTACCTCTGTTCTACGCCCATCAATCTCAAATATGCCAGCAAGAAAATCCCTGAAAAGTATGCTAATTCTATTCAGCTTGTCGAACTTCACTTACCAGAATTACCCGAACTTCCTCCTCATTACCATACTACCAATGATCTCCCACCCCATCTCCATCACACCCTTCAAAAAGCCCTGAAAATGTCCAAACCAAACTTGTCAAAAAATCTTGCAAAATCTGAAACCTGATTTGGTGATTTATGACATATTGCAGCAATGGGCTGAACGTGTTGCGAATGAACACAACATTCCAGCAATTAAGCTCCTAACTTCGGGTGCAACTGTGTTTTCGTATTTTACCATATCACTGAATAAACCAGGGGATGTATTCCCATTCCCTGAAATTTATCTCAGGAAAAGTGAACAAGTAAAAATGAATGAAACGTTAAAATGTGCTAAAGAGATAGAACCTGATGATGGGGATCGTCAAGGAGATGGAAATAGACAAATTATGCTGATGAGTACCTCTAGAATTATAGAGGCCAAATACATAGATTATTGCACTGATTTCCTCAATTTGAAGGTTGTTCCAGTTGGTCCACCATTCCAAGATTCGATCACTGATAACGCTGACGACATGGAGCTTATAGATTGGTTAGGAACAAAAGATGAGAATTCAACTGTATTTGTCTCCTTTGGGAGTGAGTATTTCTTGTCAAAAGAAGATATGGAAGAAGTAGCTTTCGGGTTGGAGTTAAGTAATGTTAATTTCATATGGGTTGCAAGATTTCCAAAAGGTGAAGAGCGAAATCTTGAAGATACATTGCCAAAAGGTTTTCTTGAAAGAATTGGAGAAAGGGGAAGAGTTTTGGACAAATTTGCACCACAACCAAGAATTCTAAATCACACGAGTACGGGAGGATTTATAAGTCATTGTGGTTGGAATTCAGTAATGGAAAGTATAGATTTCGGGGTTCCTATAATTGCCATGCCTATGCACCTTGAACAACGAATGAATGCGAGGTTGATTGTAGAATTGGGAGTCTCTGTGGAGATTGTAAGAGATGATGATGGCAAAATTCACAAAGGAGAAATTGCAGAAATTCTTAAAGGTGTCATAACAGGGGAAACAGGGGGGAAATTGAGGGCTCAAGTGAGAGATATCAGCAAGAATTTGAAATCAGTAAGAGATGAAGAGATGGATGCAACTGCTCAAGAGCTAATTCAACTTTGTAGGAATTGTAATAAGTGCAAATAATGTGGTATGTTGTGATTCAATTAACAAAATAATATTGACAAAAATAATAAGATTCTCAAATAAGACTTTCTTTAGCTTTGTGTACTATTAGTTGAGTCTTTTCCTATCTGAATTATCAGTATCTAGGTATCAAAACATATTTCAAGCTAATTAGGTCAACTCTCCCCTGTTCTTAATCATCTACTCAACTAGGTGTGTTTTAACATATGGTGATAATTCAGATAGAGAAATAGAACAGCCGACAATAGTTCAGATTGAATAAGAGAACATGTAATAGTTAGAATGTGAAACTCCGAAAAAATGATAGTTCAGATAATGTTTGACCATTATTTCTTTAGTTTTCAATATTAATTCTCACGTCTATATCATTTTTATCTTGTAGCAATTAAAATATATACTCCCTTATCTCATTTTATATGAGTTAGTTTGATTTGACTCGGAGTTGAAGAAAAAAAGGAAGGCTTTTTAAAATTTGTGGTCTAAAATGAGTAATAGATATTTGTGTGACCGTGAATCATTTCATTAAGGGTAAATGTATATTTTAAAGTTCAATTGTTATACTTGATATGTAAATATGTCATTCTTTTTTGGATTGATTAAAAAGAAAATAAGTCATATAAGTTGGGACAAAGAGAGTAGTATTTTCTCTCTTCTTACTCCCAACTAAAGTTTCTCCTTAAAATTAGAAAAAAAAACATGGATGATAATTATTTTCTACTTCCATAGGTTTTGCTATATTTTTTTGTTGCATCATTGTCTTTTTCTTTCATATTTATTTTAGTCAATTTCATAGAGTGTCTGACCTTTTCTTCCCCTCTAATACCAAAGTTATAGAATACATTAATTTGCTTTTAGAGAATTCATTTTGGTACTTGTATGATTTATTTATTTATGACATTTTTGTAAAACACTAAATTTCGTTGATTAAATTTGATAATGAATATTTATTGTCTCAATCAAATATATACCACTTTGTTACTGAATACGAACCGATAGATAACAATGTGAAATTATAAAATTGGTTATCCAAGCAAATGTATATCTATTAGATGAATACAGACCAACGAATATGAACCTCGATTTAAACAAATGTATACATATTTGTTAGGTGAATACAAACTAATGGATATCAATTTTGACTTAAAGAAAGACATACAAATTTATTAGATGAATATTTGCCAATGTATACCAATGTAGTATTAGAAAGATACTAATACAAACAAATGTATACCAATGTATTAATGAATACATATGCATGACTCCAATACAAATATATTTGATAAATATTGATTAGTGAATACCCCGATAGAGTTGACGTCAAATGTTCAAGGAGAACAATTATGTGTCAACACGGTAAAAGACATTATCTCCCACTTGAATTGCATTTTTATACTAATGAGATTTTATCTCAGTCTTTGTCGAGAGCATCCGAGAGGATGAATTCTCAAAGCAAACCACAGGTGCGGACGACATCAAAAGGGATGCAGCACAACGTGGAACTTTTTCTTAGCAGCGAACTGGGACATAGTCCAAAGAGGAGTGCCAAACTCTTAGGACGCGAGCATAAGAGCGACTTCCACCACAATCAAACCACACCCCTATTAGAAGGCATGTGGGTTTATCTTTAGGTTTGTCAGTTTCAGTTTCGCATCCGGAATTTTTTTGGTCTCTACCGGAAGCAGCTTTCCAATCTGAGTGACAATGCATCAAGAGTTTTGGAAATTATGTCCGTGTAAGTTCTTAATTATGGGTGTGAAGTGCACCACATTCATGACTAAGAGGTTGCAAGCCTTTTTTTTTCATACTCGACTCACTTTGTCGCTTTTCCGGAACCAAAGGTGATCTAGCATAATAGATTTCCTTTTCAACCGATAGAGTCGAACTACAAGCAGCCTGATTCCCTGAGTTGAGGATATGTAGGCGGGATCATTGTTGAAAACTCGGCTGTGTTCCAACATTCTCCCTTAAATCTTATTTCCAAGTGTTTCGGTTTCTTCATAATTCGATATCAAAATAACTTTTGAATTCTTTCAAAATCGTGCATCGAATCGAGCGTATCGAACTACAAGTGGCCTGAATTCTCATATAGCCTGGGATATGTAGGAACCCACTTCCGGGGTTCGGCCATAATTCCTAAAGTCCGTACCAAATCCCTTTTCCAGAGGATGGAGATGTGGTCGGTCAAAATTGGATTAGTCAAATTCATTTTCCTCGAATTTCTTGTATCAATTCATGTAAAATGAGGGACAGTTGTTGACACCTAATTTTGACCCTCCCCGATAATAATTAATTTCGAGCTTCTTAATTTTGAAATGATTTAAAGTAATTAATTTTAGAAATTTCGAAAAAATAAAAATAAATAAGAATAATTTGCAAGTAGTTTCAAATAGTTTGTCACTTGTTATAATTTTTAAATAATAATATGTCTTTTATATAATTATGTATATAATTAGTGTATTTTATAAAATATTGGAAAATCGTCTCAAAAAGATTTTTGTTTAATTAGATATTTGGTTAGTTTGTTTAGTTATCTAATAGTTTACAATTTTGAGCTAATTAGTTAGTTTATAATTAAGTTAATTATTATATAATTATGTGTCTAATTAGTATATTCTATAAATATTTGAAAATCATATCAAAAGATTTTCATTTCTTTTAGCTAAGTGTTTTACTAACTTGGTTTAATTTAAATCATAATTACGATTTTGAATTGATTAGTTCATGTTTAAATTAATCATATTATTATCAAATTAATTACTTTATTTCGTTAAGATTGAGAAGCTCCTAAATTAATTATATTAATTCATCTTATTTGAAATTTAGCCAAGTTCACTACATAACATTCAATTTTGGGCTAATTTTGTAATACACTTGGCTATGTTTGTTACAAACATACCCATTTTCCAACCTCAATTTAAACCCATCCAAAGACCAAATTTGGGCCTTTTTACTTGTCTGTCAGCAGCCCACACGACCCACTCCAACATTCCCATTCCAATTCCCAGCCCAAATTCAATTCTAAAGAAACCTATTCCAATATAATTCCAATTAACCCATATGTACAGCAGCCCAAAACAGACCCGACCCCGTATGCATTTCCTCTCCTTCACGCGGCGTGAACAGCAACATTCACAAACGTTTGCCAGCAATGTTCACAAATCAGAAGCGATGCAGTACACTGCTCATTTTGTCGTCTTCCTCATTTTCCCTCTGCAGCAGCGCGATTCAGAGCAGCAGGGCGACGTGCTTTCGTCCTTGTGGCCTCGAGATAGAGCCACGTTGCTCGCCAAGGACACGGGAATCGATCCCAACCGTCCTTCTACCCTTTCCTCTTCCGGAAATGACCAAATTTCGGAAAAAGGGTGTCTCCCCTTAATGGTGAAAGAAGTTTTGGGTTTTGAAATTTTCGGATGGGCTTTGGACCCAAATTTTTCATTCACTTTCCCTCTGTTTTGCCCTAATTCCCCTGTTATATATACCTTCTGGTTGTTCACTGTAAGGGGGGATTGGATTTTTTTTGAGGAAGTTTGAGAAAAATAATTTTAATACACGCTAAATATGCTTCATAAGCCAAAGAGATACTAGTTTTCGGTTTTGTGTTTAAGTTTCTGCTTGAATTTCCATCTGGACGTTGTGTTCGAGCTTCTCGTGGTGAAGGTCTCCGCCTCTGCTCGTTCCTGTCCCTTCGCTGCTCCGAAAGAGGTATGCTTCCTCATTTCGTTATCAAGTGATGTTCTGTGTTGCAATTTTAGTCTACTGGCTAGCGCCTAACTTGGCTCAAGGTGTTGTTGCTTGTCTAAGTGTATGTTATATTAGCTTTAATGGATGTACAAACACTTCTTCTGTTGTTTAGATTTAAAATGATCTCTGTGTGTATGTGATTTTTTTAGTTTACGAAATTTTCTATCTCTCTTTGTGATTATTTTGGTTCAAAGGTCAAGTTCTCGCAATTGTGTTGAGGCGTAATATATGTTCTCATTTTAGTATTTTTCTCAAATTGATTTGTTACGCTAACTGTTCAAGGCTACAATTTTCTTACAAAACACTGTATCTATGTTCCCTATGGTGGCAGTAGTGTTCATAAGTGAAATGAGCCGATTTTGGCAATTTGATGGTGTATTACTGTGTGAAAAACCTTTTCTTGCTTTGGGAGAATGATTAGGACTTAGGATCATTGTGTTTATGAAGCGGTTTTGTCACATACTAAGGAATTAGTAAGCATCATTCGATAGATTTTTCTTACATAAAACGGTCTTATACTTTGAATATCCTTGACATATTTCTTGTGTTATGTGTGTTTATTTAAAAATCTTAGATGTTGCACATGTGTTTTGTTTACGATGACATCTTGGGGGCTTAGTTGATTTTGAGTTGGTACACTAGAGTTATTCTCCCGTATTTAGCCTGAATAGGGTGGTCTGTCGTGTAATTATCATCTTTCAAACACAATCAATTAATTAATGTCCTTTTTTTAAAAAAAAAAAAATACAAATTTTTAAAATGTAATGATAGACCCCCTCCTCTGCCTCAACTTTTATCCCCTTTTATTTTAAGGAGCAATAGCCGGCAAAGTTGAATATCTTTTTTTTTTATTTTATTTTTTTTAATAAGAGATTGATTCGTGAAAGCCTCTCTCTTCGTGGTTCTCATTGAATTGCATGAATTTACTCACTGTTTGAATATTTGTCCTTTTGTATCCCTTTTGATTTATTATATGATGGCAATTATTTGCTCTTCTAATTATGTCATAGTGTGGATTTAAGGTCCTTTTGTGATACCTTTTTTTTTTTTTCTCTTTCCATGGTGATTAATATTAAAATATAGTAGTGTAATAAATATTAAATTACGGTAGTATATAATTTTTTAGAATATGGTAGTATAATAAATAATAAAATATTGTAGTATATAAATATTAGATACGGTAGTATATAATTGCTTAGAATATAGTAATATATAAATATTAAAGTATGGTAGTATGTAAATAATAAAATACGGTAGTCTATAGATTCAAAATTTGGTAGTATATAAATATTAGATTATGGTAGTATAATAGATTTTAGAATATAGTAGTGTAATAAATATTAGTATATGGTAGTGTAGCAAATATTAGAATATAATAAATTCTCCTATATTATTCATAACTCTTACTTATTGATTCTCATTTTCGTGTTTGCATGTGAAATTTGTCCGGGTCCTCATGGACTCTATCCTCGCATTTTCCTTTGGGCCACGGAGGCCCATACCCCCTCTTATCCGAGTCAGCTAGATATCAAAATCGACGAACAGGTCTCAAAATTGAAAGAAAAGCGGAGCAAATTGGGAGTTGAAAAAGATTGGGCCAAAGCCTACCTTTATTTATTCGGAATTGTATTTTGTTATTATTGGGCCTAAGCCCTCGCCATTTTACTTATTATTACTTGTTAGTTCTTAGGACAGGTGAAAATTGGGCCAAAGGCCCAAAACGAAAATGGGCCCAAGTACTGGTCCAGGCGGACAGAAAAACCATACTTGGGCCCAAGTCTCTTTCCTTATTCATTTTTTATGTTTATTTACTTGTTAATATGTGCTATTAGTCTTAAGGTTGAAAAATTCAAATCCCCGAAAGAC